AAAATAAAAGTCACATATAAAAAAGTTAAAAAAAACCCCCAAAATGTTTAACTCCCCCACCCCCATGTTTACGCACATATAAACGTAAATATGCGTCCGGTGCACCAGCGCGTGAAAACGACAGTTTCGCTACACACGTTACATATTGCTGCGAACGTCGCAGTGAGAGCAATAATTTTAGGGCCATCAATCACTGAATACTAAACTGATGAGCGGTAAAAATTTTAAGGCTTGACATGTTTGGTGTCTTTATACCCGACATGCCCCCGTCTTTTATATTTTACAAAAAAAATTGGGTAATAATAAATGTTTTATCATTTACTATAGGGGAAACTGTTTTTTTTTTTTTTAAATTTCGGTAATTTTTCTTTAATATAGTAAAAAATAAAAACCCCAGTGGTGAATAAATACCACCAAAAGAAAGCTCTATCTGTCCCCAAAAAAGGGTATAAAATTCATTTCAGTACAGCGCTGCATGACGGAATAAATGTCAGTCAAAGTACCGCAGCGCTGAATACTGAAAAATGGCCTGGATGGGAAGGGGGTTTATCACCGCGGATGTCAACTGGTTAATATTAGGTGTTTGATTTTGGAGTTATTGAAAATATTGTTTCAGATTGGTCTGACTAGAACAAAAATTTGTACAAGGCTATTTTTGTCAGTTTTGGCATTGTAACATTGTGGGGTTTGCGTTCTACCTAGGTCCCAGTTTTGTAAACATCCCCTTTACTGGCAAAAAAAAAATGCAGTTTAACCAGTCTGCCAGCACGTTCCATCGAAATCTCGATTGGTTTGGAATGGTCACATGCATTTTATTTTCCATAGTGGTTCACATTTCAATAAGTTGCCCAGCTTTGTGTGATTTAGTGTTTTATTGATTTTTCATTTTTAGGAATTCCCCGCTCCTTTGCCGATGCTCCAGATGACTACCTCAGAAGAGAAGCCAAGCAGCTCAAAAGAGAAAGCACTCCACCACGAAGCCTGTCTGATGCCTACAAAGTTAGAGCACATGAAGGTCTTTCAGGTCCGCTCAAGTTGAAAACCCATGAGGACATGGTGGCCACAGTGAAGGAAGCTGGGAGGTCTGTCCATGAGATCCCAAGGGAGGAAATGAGACACAGTGCTGAGATTCCAGTGAATTCCCGGCCTCATAAAGATGGCTCTATTACACAGGTATGCTATGAACCGTATATGCAAATGATGCAGGGCTGCCTGTTGCCTTTATAGGAAAATTGAAGAATTTTACAAACCAATGTAAAATGTTATAAATGCTTTTATAAGTAACTGAGTTTATTCAGCTGGGGTCACTCAGTAATATAAAGCCAACAATATGAACATACAATAGACTGGACATCACGGTTTAACAGCAGATAGTTTGTTGAATTTTGCTGCACAGTCTTCCAACTGTTATAAGCACATGCATGCCTTTCATGAACAGGACTTACCCTAACTGCGATATTTACTGCCAAACTTGCAACGCTAAAGTCAGGACAGGTTCATATCTGAAAAGTGAAGCCTGAACTTTCATTGGCAAAATCAGAACCTGAATTTTGTATTGCAAAGCCTATTACACTATTAAGAACAGTACACCATGTGCAGTGTTATCAGTGGTGTCCTGTTACTTTTATGTTTAAAGGCAAGGGTGGCTGTTAAAAGTGTGTTAGGCCTTTGCCAACATTCCCCTTAAGAGCTCATACACACGATAACACAATGCACTGCATTGCATACATTGTGGTGCATTGATATGTGCTGCAGTGCATTAAACAGCTCATTTAAAAGGCATTAGCTGAAACGCACAGCAACACCCACGAAAAAAAAGCAGGCTTACTTTTATTGCAGTGCATGGACACCGTGCGTTGTGCCGTGGTGCACTGCATTGACGCACAGATGCGTTTTGGAGATGCATTGAGGTGCCATTCACTTAATGGCACTGCAGCTCACAACACATGTAAAGTGCATTGCCACCATTGTGCAATACAATCATGTGAATGGGTCCTAACTCTTCTGATGTTTTGTTTAAAAAAGTGAGATCATAAACTTATATATAGTATGTTTAGTTTCTGTGCTACAGCTTATTATATTATACATTAATTTAGCGTAAGAAAAAGTACACATTTATACACTGAGTGGCCAGATTATTATGACCACCCCATCAGTACTTCGTTGGGCCACGAGATGACTTCGTTGGGCCGCCTCGTGACTCCACGAGATGTTGAAAGGTGATGCGAGGAATCTGACACTGCACTGTTGCCCTTCTGTTGTCTTGTACCAGTCTTGCCACTCTCCGTTCTGCCCTAACATTGACTAGTCGCTGACGGCCACAATTCGCACGTTCAGACCCAGATTTTCGGCTGACAGTCCAGTCTTTAAACACTTTAACAACAGCTGCTCTTGAACATTTAACGAATTCTGCTGTTTTGCTGATACTCACTCCATGGCTCCGAGCGCCAACAATCATCCCACGTTCAAAGGCTGTTAAATCACGTTGTTTACCCATATCTTCAGAAAAAAATCACTTCTACTGTTGTGGTAAACAACCTGCTTCCTATTTATAATGGTCTGGCCCTCTAGCAACTTCAGCGCGAAATTATATTAATTATAGCTAATTTGCCTACAAATGTCAGGTTGTCATAATAAACTGGCCACTCAGTGTATATGAAAGCTGTATCTATTTTTTTTTCCCTTGCTTTATACATAACTAAATATGTTATACAGTATATTGTGTTCTATTGTTAATGTGTTTGATAAAATACAGCAACAGCAGTATTACTTTCTTCATAAAGTGTGATTTGGCTGTTCAGACATTTTAATGACTGTGAATAAGGAAGTCAATTTAACTACTGAAAGAGGAGAAATGTAGAAGCCACATACTGCACCGGGGAACAGAATGAGTGATTGAAGGGATGAATAAAATAATATGACTCTGCAGGCAATCCATGATGAAAACAAACTTTACTCATGAAAATAAATGGCAATCCTTTCCTGCAGCCCCTGATTTGTTTTTTAGTAAATAAAACCACTTAACAAATGGTGAGCGTGAAATTCAGACCCAGACAGAATTTAGACAGACAGAACGTTTAGGATAATATCTGAGATTCAGATATTACATTACCCCTCTGCAATATAGATGATATCTGCTGCTTTATTTGTTGCCCTAAACTTACTTTTGGCTTCTAGACAATTTTTGCTTTGTATAGAGCAGTCTTTCTCAACCAGGATGCCTTCTGGTTTTACTCAGGGGTGCCTTGCAATTTTCACACTGCATCATGCCTTTTTATGATGTAGATAGGCTCGAGATGTGAAAGGGGGAACTATGATGTGAAGAGGGGTCCTGATTTGAAGGAAGGACTCTGAAGTGAGGGGGAACCCCATTTTTTTTGTTTTTGCATGGGGTTCCCCCTTAAAATCCATACAGACCCCTATCTGGGATAATGGTTGTTTTTTACATTTACTTATTTTGCAGATTAGACTTGGGGAGCCTTGAGATTTTGCATACTTGGTGCCATGACTGAAAGAAGGTTTAGAAACTCTGGTATAGAGGTAGTGATCAGTGTCCCACTAAGTTTTCTACTGAGACAGGTAGAGAGATTTTGCTGGACCTTTGGTCCATGATGACATTTAGCATAGTGTAGGCTGGGATTTAAGCTTTTATCCTCTGCCAAAACCTTAAATTGTTCGAAGCAGTTAGCCTCTGTAGGGTCAAAAAAGAGTGCTAGTTCACTTTGTATGGCTGACTTTTGCATTTTTGTTTGTACCAACCTAATGATTCTCTAAATCTCTAAAGCTGCCAACTGACTTTGGCATCATGGTAAATGTGCCTATATAGAAGACCATGTTCTAGAGATAAGGTGTTATCTATCGCCCTTTGTGGAGACTATTCAGTAAAGTTGTGAAAAGCACAAACCTCTGTAACCAGTAGTTTTCTGGTTAATGAAAATTGAATAATTGAGTATTGGTGTCTGTTTCTTCAGTTGCCAATTTAGCCCTTGTACAATGGTTTCTACTGTTCCATCCTCCCTGTAAACCAGAAGTATGGCACAGAGTGTCTGTCCTGAACACTTTATCTCTTGTCCCATGCAAACAAGCTTTTTACTTTTTTTTTGCTAGTTTACAGTTGATGATAAACACTCCATCCTCCTGTTTGCTTCACTGTCTTTTACCAGAGAATGCTTTTCTATTAATAAAGGGTATGAGAGATGATGCCTTATGAAACAGCATTGTGACTAATGGGGTGAAAGTTCAGTGTGCACTGTAACACACTTGGCTTTGAAGAGTAGAAGTCCTTCGGCAGACTTGTTGTTGTAAGGCAGTGGGCACCATTCCATAAGAATGTGACTTCAGAGCCAGCCCATGAAAGCAGAGAGCACAACCAGATACTTAGATAACATACAATAGACTGCAGAATAACACTTGTATATATTCCTGTCATCATGGAATCACTTACTAGACAAACATCAACCCTACTGGCTGTATTTTAAAGTCTCTGATTACTTTATTCAAAATTATTAGATTTTTTTCCTGTTTAATAAAATTATTTACATTGTTTTAAATTCACAAACAGTTCAGTTCTATTAGATTAGATATACGCTTAGATATGTCAAAACAACTGACAGCGCTCGGCAGTAAGTTGGATTGGTCTTACAGTGGCATGCAAGTGCTTTATATTCTTTGTTTAGGCCCCATGGCTAAGTACAACTTACAGAAAAGGAACAGTAAATTACGAGGTTAGCTCATGTGCTACCAAACACATATAACCTGTGCAAATAGGGTTACGCCTGGTGTGGTTTGTCATCTCAGCATATAAATAACCTTAAGGCCCCTAGATTTAGAACAGAATAATGTTTCCCCTAGTCAAAGGTCAATCTTCCTAGAGGCCAAAATCTCAGATCTGGATGAGCATGCTCCCATAGTTAAGACTCACAAAACAATGAAATATCAAAAAGTGGAATGGTAGTTGAGGATTGGTCCAGCCATACTACCTTGCCCACACACCCTCTACGTTGGTAGCTGTCCTATAACAGCGGTAGGTTGTAATTAACCTATTGTTTCCAAAGCCAGAGAGATGAAGGATCTGGTTTCTTTCAAAGCATTGCAATTGCTTTCCAGTCATGGAAAAATAATAGACCCAACAACCTTGTTTCAGCTATTGCAGGAGCCAGGTCCTCTACTATGTCTAAGAGGCACATCTTTGGAGAGAGAACAGTGCTTGTGTTAGCGATAGAAATAAGGTAGTCAGCTTCCTCACGCCAATAAATGACGATCAACTAGCTGTTTGAAAGACATGTCCCAGATCTCTGACCAGTCCTCATGGTCCAGGTCTGGTGTATCAATCCGCCATTTGCGCTGAAGTGCACTGGTTTCAGAGGTAGTAGCTGGAAGGGCATGATGATATGTAGGAGAGGCTGTTTTTTTAAAGATATTCAAGCAAGGTATAATTTAACTCTACACAAGGTTCTTCTTGTAGGCTTTTTTCCTTTATTTTCACCTGGTAATCCTATGAATAACACACTTCCTGTCCTGCTTCCTGTCCTGGGGTGGCTACGTTCACTCTTCCGCCCAAACATGTCTTTGTTCATCTCCATTGCATTAGGGCTGATAGGGTTAGTAGTTTACAGAAAAATAAAAATATAAGGCTGTTTGTGCTTTCTGTGAAGTTTACAGGAAGTGAGAAGAACATTGTATTTTTGTCAAGATTAAGTTATTTTTCTGTACTGAAAATGTTCTTAGCCTGAAAAAAGAAAACTATGTGGCTAACACACCTAAAGTCTGGTAAGCCACAATATATTACATTTGTTTTTAGGTTTAATCTTTGGCCTTCCTGGAACAATAAAGGCACTGAGCAAATGAAAAGCTTCTTTAAACACAGAGTCACATAGCAAGCTGTAACGCAGGTGAAGTTTACAAATACAGCACTTGCTTTTTGTGGCAAGAACTTAGTTTGCAACCCTTTGCTTCAAAAGTCATGGTTTTTAATCACTAGTGTGAATGATTGATTTATGGGGGGTGCCACCATCTTCTATTTTCTGACAGGTCTGACATACAGTACATATATTGGTAATGAAGATAATGTTTTAATTTGAAAATTAATTTCTCTATTTAAAAAGGTACATAACAATCACATGGTTTGAAAACTGAAATGGCAGTTGATTAATAGACACACAAAGTACATTTCTGTTAACCAACAGTTGTCCCTTAATGAATATATTAATTACAGGTATTATTGATCAAAATATTAAGTGGTTGTTTAAAAGCTGTTTGATTTTTTTTTTTTTCCCCCCCTCTACAGGGTACACCTTTGAAGTATGACAGCGGTACTTCAGTGAGTGCTAAAAAGCATGATGTACGATCCATTATTGGTAGTACTGGCCGGCCTTTTCATCCTTTACACCCAATGGAAGTAATGCAGGACCACAGAACCATAGATCGGCTATACGATGAGATGATGCTGAAAGGTCGACCTAGTTCTGGATCAATATCTAGGGGAGCCCCTGTAATTGTGCCAGATCCTGGCAAACTCAGGCACAGCCCACTGGCTTATGAAGAACATCAGTTAACCCATGGGGCATCATACAGCAACCATCCCCTGAACAGAGGGTCTCCTGTTACCACAAGAGAAGCTGCACAAAGACAGCATGAAGGTATAAATAACCTTCATTATAGTCAATATGCCCATAAGAATAAACTGTTCATTTTTTTAATTCTGTGTTATGCTCTTTCTCTTTATATATCAAATTGTCACCGAAACTGTGTTATTATATGTAACAAGTCAATAGTGCTTTTAAAGTGACGCTAAACTCTGGGGTTATATCTTAAAAATGCATAAAAATACCCTAACTAACAAAAACATTAACTAAGATGTAGCATATCTGTGTATCATTCAGCTGTAGATTATCTTTGAATTGGTGCTGGCACTGTCCTTCCTTCTGGAGGGTGGATACGTTTATTCCCCATGGTCCCGTGTATATTATAAAGTAGCCACCGCTCCAAGATCACTCTCGTGTTGGACTGGGCTACACTCTCAGGACAAATTAGTAAACTATACATGAGATTGTAGTCCATCACTGGAGCGAGGTTGGAGCGCTGGCTACTTTACAACACACACAGGGATCATGGGGAACAAAAGTAGCCACCCTCCAGAAGGAAGGACAGTGTCAGCACCAATTCTGAGATGATTTGAGGATCTGAGTGATATACAAATAAGTTACATTTTTGTAAATAGTCGAGGTACCTGAATGCATTTTTTAAGATTTATCCCCTGAGTTTAGTGTCACTTTAATATAAAAGGAAAGTAATGTGTTAGAAATATTTTATAACAATGCATGTTTCCATTAAATGTATCGTGTTTATGGTAAATTATACTTAATAGCAAAAATTGACCTATTTATGGCACAGAACTGAAAGTGCAAATTGTAGTAAAAAGGGCCCTTAGGCCCCTTTCAGATGTGCGGTCTGATCAGGTCCCCCTGTCAGTTTTTCAGGCGGACCTGATCGGATGCCCAATGTAAGTCTATCGGCACCTGTTTACACCTAGTTACCCCCGACTCTGGCCAGGTCTGGAAAAACAAATGGATCAGATGTCCGTTTCACCGTATCGGTGTTGTCGGCGGGCAGCGGCGTTGTTCGTTCTCGGCAGGCAGCGGCGAGTTGGGAAGCTCACCGGGAGGAGAGGGCCAGACGCATGTCCTCAGCGTGGGCGCGGCGTCGCGTGACACCAGCGTAGGCGCGAGCGGCTTAACTGACGTGGGCGTGGCGTAAGCGGCGTGCGTAAGCAGCGTGCGTGAGCGGCGTGCAGCGGCGAGCAGGAAATTTTAATTTTAGCCGACGAATCAACGATGGAAAACGTTGGCAACGTTTTCCATCGTCGATTTTAATCGACTTAATCGAATAATTGTTGCAGCTCTACACCTGATCGTGTCGGATCGGGGGTAATCTAATCTAAATGGACACATGTTAGTTTACATCCGATTCCCCATAGACAGACATGAGGTCCGGTAATTGCAGTTTTTTCCTCCATCGCAAGAAGGATAAAACTGTACGGACATGAATGTCACAGCGGCGACATCCGCTCCATACTGCTATATTCAGGAGAGGATCCATGCACGGATCCTCTCCTGATCAGCCCGTGTGAGTGGCCCCCCATGTGATAGGCTCATGTGGCAATGTATTTATGTACCGATGAGCTCTAGGCAGAAAAGACACATAATAATGCAGTTCTGTTATTAATAATACATTAATAAATATTTTTTTAAATAGAAGCATTCCCTGTACAGCAGGGCTAGAGTATGAGAGGAAGAAATAGCACAAGGAGTCAATCAGATAACGTGCTGACAACAAGCATGATAGGAGGAGAGAGCTGAGTGACAGAGATGAGCTCATCACTGAGCTGAGGAAGTCTGTTAAATGATGCTGGCTTTCAGACTGAGGATATTTACTAAAAGAAAAGTGCTGCAGGCAAAATTTCTGGATTAAGGTTAAATAGTGCAACAAAAGCTGGTTTTGATATGTTATCTTTTTTATTTTTTGTAGTATCTGAAGCTGGGAAAGCTGGTAAAAAAAAACAAATGAGATAGTGTTTTATTTTTTACATAGAAGGGTTGCAGGTTTTCTTAAATGACATTTTGGGTGTGTGTTTATGCAGTGCTAGCGAGTTATTCCTTTATAGATCTAAACTTTTTCTTTGTTATTTCTTACACTGTATTCATTTTACGGGAGGAAGCTCAGGCTGGACGTTATAAATGTCTATGTCATGTGACTGTTTTGTCACCCACAGGCGGTATAAGTTCTGGAAAACCTGTGACTCAGGAAAGGAATCGCACCCCGAATCCCAGAGAAATGGCAAGCTCCAAATCTCCCCACACCACGGTCCCTGAACATCTCCATGCCATGTCCACCTATGAGCACTTACTGCGAGGAGTCAGCACAGCTGAGCTGTATCGTGGTCATATTCCCCTAGCCTTTGACCCAGCAGCCATTTCCAGAGGGATTCCATTGGAAGCAGGTATAATATCTTATAAATCCCTATTAAAAGCATAGTTAGGCCCTGTGTTGATGGGCTTTTGATTACTTCAAATGGGTTTAGGAATTAAAAATCCGCTTGATACAGGTCAGGAGATCAAATGGACCTAACAATTAATTCTGAATAATCTCAGACTGATGTCAAACTGATGCCATACACTCAAGCCCAAAAGCCCCTCAATACAGGCCCTGATTTATATTGATCATTAACATTATAAAAACTTGTGCATATTGGCCTCTCCCTGTGTGTTAGAATACAATTTCATACAGTTTTTTTTTCACCAAAGTGCAAGTGGAATTTGACATTTGTGTTATTGAGGTAATGGGTTCAATGGTCTTTAGTTTTTGTTGTGTTAAGAATGTAGGTTGTGAGAGTTTAATTTGGTTTTGATACATTCTTTCTTTCCTGCAGCTTCCTATTACCTACCCAGCCACCTGGCTCCCAATCCAGCTTATCCCCACCTATATACACCATATCTCATCCGAGGATACCCAGATACTGCTGCCATGGAGAATCGCCAGACCATCATCAATGACTATATTACCTCCCAGCACATGCACCACAATCCTACAACTGCTATGGCACAGAGGGCAGAAATGCTGCGTGGGCTGCCAACAAGGGACTCTGCCATGGCTCTCAACTACACAGCAGGTCCTCGAAGTATGCACAGAATGTCCTTTAGATTTGTGTCTATTGCATTTTTATTTGTAGCTATATGTAGCTGATTAGGCCTCCTGGCAGGCATAATTGCTGCCATCTTAGCATGGAAGCCATGATGTGTGCTGATGAAAAGACTTAGTTGTTCATATTAATTATAATAGTGATGGTCAATGGCTACCACACTCTTCTTATGAGCATTTGCCATGCTTTCTGATGTTTCACCATTTTCTGGTTTTGTAAAGAGCTCTTTGAAGTGTACATGTACAACATGCACTATACATTGTAAATTGGGCATAAAAGCTGAAACTAGGGAAAGTGCTTTTCTTGCTGGTGGTAACCAATCAGATTTCATATTTTCTCATTACATATTTCTAGTACTTGTTAGAAAAGAGGGGACATTCATATATTTAGAAATGTCTGCAAAATTTTTAAACATCGCTTGCATTGAATCAGTAGGTTGATGGTCTTCATTTCTTGTGTGAGCATGTACAGGTGAAACTCGAATAATTAGAATATCGTGCAAAGTTCATTTATTTCACTAATGCAACTTAAAAGGTGAAACTAATATATGAGATAGACTCATTACATGCAAAGCAAGATAGTTCAAGCCGTGATTTGTCATAATTGTGATGATTATGGCTTACAGCTCATGAAAACCCCAAGAACCCCAAATCCACAACCTCAAAAAAGTAGAATATTACATGCAATCAATAAAACAAGGATTGTACATAGAACAATATCAGACCTCTGAAAAATATAAGCATGCATATGTACTCAGTACTTGGTTTGGGCCCCCTTTGCAACACTTACTGCAATTACTTTTGCACGATATTCTAATTATTCGAGTTTCACCTGTATATAGACATGTGTGTAGTCTAATACTGTTATTGGTAGGTGCCTAAAATTGCTGGGTATGTGAGCAGCATTAGGATTGCCCAAGTTGTTGGAAAATCTCTGTGCAACCTGACAGATCCCTCTTTCTTCAGCCATATGAGAGGTAGTAGAATCCCAATGCTAAAGAGGTTGGACTGATGTCTTCCCACCAATTATGATGGGAGAGATATCCGCCTATGACCAGCTTCAAAGGGGCATAGATATATATATTTTTTTAATGTAGCAGAGATCATCTTGATGTAAAGATTCTTTTGATATAAGGTTGTTTGTGATCATGTTTTGAGGTACCTTGTTTTTACATATAAATGATAAATGTATATGTACCGTATTTGCCGGCGTATAAGACGGGTTTTGAAACCTTAAAACATCCCCCAAAAATCGGGGGTCGTCTTATACGCCGGGTACATGCAGAAGGATATGGTATACTGTCTGTAGCTTCGGCTACAGACAGTATACCGCGCTGAGCCAATCACGGCAGGCTTTGTATTATACGACGAGTATAGCCCAAAACCTATATTTTAACACAAAAAGTAGGGGGTCGTCTTATACGCCGAGTCGTCTTATACGTCGGCTAATACGGTACATGGTGGTAGCTATATTTGCTCATTACAAACACAGGCTTTGCTTTCTGTTTTGCAGCCCTACACAATGGTTGTGCTTCACTGCTCCTTCTCACTTTGCACTGATCCTTCTCACAGGTGTAGTGAGTCAGCTCACTACAGATATCTTATCAAACAGTTGTTAAGCAACTCATTGGAGTCAGGAGAACACATAAAAGAAGCACCATACCTCCATGGCTCAGAAAAGGAATGAGCCAGGAGTTTGTCACTGGGAGCACATCCTAGCTCAAATATGAGCCCATACAAAGAAGAAAAGCTGGCCGCACATCGGATTCCGCTGGAATAGTTTACTGAAGCTTGTACTTCATCACTGGTGGTGTCCCGCCCAAGGTCCGCCTCCTCCGATGTGTTTCACCCAATCACAGGCTTAGTCGTAGAGGTATTCCAGAGGAATCCAGTGTGCAGCCAGCTTTCTGTTTGTATGAACTCATTGGAGTGGCTAAGCTATAAATCTCTCTATTTAATACAATAACACTAATATGAAAGATCAAGCATGTAAAATTAAAAAGGACTTTAAGATAAACATGCAATTATAAATCAAAATACTGTTCACGAAATGTAAGTTATGCTTCCTTTTAAATGTTTGCTCTTGCTGGTAACTGGATTGGTATGCATTTTGTGCACATATGAAAAATACTAGTTAAAAGGTTCAACTTTTCATAGGAAATAAACTTTTCAAGAAAAGTTTTTAATGTCAGTTATTCTCTGTTATCTCTTGCAGGAATTATAGATTTGTCTCAAGTGCCACTGCCTGTCCTAATACCTCAGTCTGCAGGCTCCCCTTCTGCCACCATAGACCGTGCCACATACATGTCTGGAAGCCCACAAACATTTAGCAGCCGGCTCAGTAGTTCTCCGCTTTCTCCAGGTAATTACAAGAACAGTTTTTGAGCCTAGATTGATAAGGTCACACAGTACATTTTTTGAGACATGAAAACGTATTTTCTAACAATGTAGGTATTTAATGTGAAATGCTTCTGGTCAGTTTCTAACTTACACTAAAATTGGCAGCTGGAATGTGGCTTTTGCTGCATCTAAAATCCATTTTCTTTTGCTCTAGTTTGTATAATGAAGTATGAATTATTATGTTTTTTGCAAATATTATATTGTAGGATTTAGTAAAAAATAACTTGTATCGATATTGATAAATATAAGTAGTAGCACTGGTGGTTCTTTGTTCATGTCAATTACACCTGATGTCAGTCTTTGCTGATAAGGTAGTTTAGTAAAAAAAAGGAAGGATTAGGGATTTGTAGGTGGAGAATAAAGGAGTATGGGTGCACTCATAATTTCCAGATTCTTAAACAGCATTTGCTTTCTCGTCTATTTGGAGACATAGGAAGTCTTTAACCTTTGGGATATACTGCTGCCTACAGGAGGATTGGACACTGGCAAACAAAAAACTTTAGGCCAGCCCCGGATACCCCCTGCCATTACCAGCATGCCTCAGTTTTTTGCTAGAGTCCTAGGATGATGGATGTCTTTTGTAAGGGCCTTCACTCCAGAAGTTTTTCCATGGAACAAATTCTCTCCTATCTACAGCTAGTTCTTGACCAGCATCTAGTTCTCAGTGCGATCAAGGGTCTGGTTTCTTATTCTGTTTCAGAGACCACTGGCCTCTCACTCTCTGATTTAAGACAAGGTAATATTGTGGGCTGGGACTTCTTACTTGCCTAAGGTAAACTACCATAGGCAAGGAAGGAAGGAATACATTGTTTTTCTGTGCCTTTGTCTCGCTACATTTCCCTCCTAGTAATTTCCCTTCACGGACCTCGTAAAGATGCACCAGCTTCTCATTCCACCAAACCTAGGTGGCTTAGGCAGACCATCATGCACCTACCCACTGGTCTTCTATTTGCTTGTTCTGTAAGTTCCACCAGGTGGGCGTTGTAGCCTCATCTGATGCCAGCTACAGGCTTAAGGTCCTATAGGCAGCTCTTTGCGCTGCGGGCAATCCCTAGTTCTCTGTTGTTGTTTTTTTTTTGTACCTGTTAGCATTTGTATGCTGTATTGCACACCCCTCAGTGCTTTTGAACATCCTGAACGTAATGTTAAAGATTTCCTGTGTCCCCCAATGGACAAGAAAGAATATAGGAATTTTGTATTTGCTGTAAAATTATTTTTCTTGGAGCCCATGGGGGCACAGGTTCTACCAGTTTGCTACAAACTTGAGGTGTGCTGATATTACAAGGGGTTATCCTGGATTGGCCTACAGCTTTTTTGTTGCCAGTGTCTAATGTTCCTGTATGCGACAGTATAACCCGAAGATTAAGCATGTCCTGTGTCCCTTAATGGGCTCCAAGAAAAGGATTTTACAGTGAGTACAAGTTTCCTATTCTACTGATTTGCTTTATGTGGTTCTTTTACAAGAATTACATTTTTGTTACAGCAACAACCACACATATGACCAAGCTGACCTCAACACACTCTGATCGAGAAAGAGAAAAATCAGTCCTTACAACAACAATAGAACATGCACCAATATGGAGGCCAGGTAAGTGCTATGTTTTATTTCATCTGTTCTTTTTTATTTTTTTTTATTGCAGCAGTACCCTTATTTAGGAGTTTGCATGCTTCATATCAAGGAATACTAGATATGGACCTACAGATGTAGTCTCTGTTTTTTCAGGAACGGAACAAAGCAGTGGACGGTTGTCAACGCAAAGTCACAGCCACCAGCACTCCCCAGCGTCCCCACGGACGCATGAAAATGTCCAGCAACGTCCCAGCGTTCTTCATAACACGGGTATGAAAAATCTCATGACCAGTGGAGAAAGCATCACTCCATCTGTATTACGGTAAGGAGTTTTATTTAGAGGGTGCATGGCAATGTATGGGAAGATTTTTAAAGTGAACCTTTTTTCTACAGTACAATGTGGGAGCTTCTGTAGGTGGCAGAGAGGCACCTCAGCGCATTTTAGGATCATTGGGGTATGATAAGAACTCAGAGTCAAGGTCAAATCTAAAGGAGGGTTTATGGACTTTCTGATGCTTCCTATGCTGCTGTTAGATAAAAGATAGTTTATAAGGAATCAGTGGAGCAAGTGGAGATGAGTATATAAATATATAACGTCTATGAGAGTTGTGGGATTTGAGATCTGTTTCTCAGTCTCCCAGCCTTTAAGCTGTCAGACCAATGGAAGTCTCTAGGAATGTCTTTCAGCACAATAGCAGATCAAGGTTTAGGCCACAGATTCTTTCAAGCAAAGGTGAGTGTGAATCACACACTTCACCTAATTTTCTCTGTGCAAGACGATAGATAGAGTGCAGATGCACACTAAGGGAAGTATTCAGTAAAAATTATTCTCAAATGTTATTTTTTTTTATTCAATACTCATAGTATAAGTAAAAACATTTTTTTTTTCTAAAGAACATCCTCCAGCTCTTCCCCCATTCGGTCCTCTGCACAGTTATCCTCTTCATCTATGCGCTCCGCTAATGAAAGAGAAAGTTACCAGTCTGCAGAAAATGCTATGCTTCAGAAAGATATTGCAAGGGCACGAGAATGCAAAATTGATCGGTCAAGAACTGAACATTTTTACAATTCAAAGCTGCCATCAGCAGCCATGGAACAGACGTCACCAATTAAGAACATGGAGTCCAGGCCTCACCCATCAGCTGTGGCCAATTCAGCTCACCAGTATAACAACGGACAGGGGAAAAGCCAACTTCATCAGCCCCTGGACCAGACAGCAGTGCCAGCCAGTGAGCAGCACAATAGGGACAAGACCCCAAATAAACCCTTTTCCATGCAGGAACAGGAGCTCCGATCACTCGGTAAGACCACCATGACCGCGGCCAACTTCATAGACGCCATTATCATGCGTCAAATTTCTTGTGATAACGGGAAGCGAGAAAGACCCTCGCTAAATATCAACGCCAGTAGTGATGGTAAGACCTATGGGAGCAGGTAGTTCCAAGCTTGTAGCATTTTGGCTTTTTTCTTCTTCCCAATTTTTTTGTTATCCCCCCACAAATCATCTGTCTCCAATTATTAATTTACTTAGTCCATTTATATTTTTGTGTGAGGAATAGTTTTTTTCTTTTTTTTTTTTAGTTTAATTTGTGCTTGGCTGGCCCTGTTAAGTTATTTAAATTGTGGTGCTTTAATTCCAGATGATTGAAATAATAGCTGAGGGATACATTCCTTGCTGCAATGTATTGTGGCCCCCTGACAGTAAAAGGACAATTATTTAAATGCCTTTCATCATATATTCTCCAGTTTTAAATCTGGAGCAATCCCTACTATATACTGCATATATTGTTACAAGTGCATGTATCTTTTGTATTAGTGCAGTACTGTCATGGATTAGGAAGACTTTCCCTTTAAATCCATAGAAACCCAGAGGCAGCCCTCAAGAAATTGTTATGTAACAGTTACAGGAAACTGAATTTTTTAGTAGTGTCTACTGTAAGACATGGGCCAGGTCCGAAACCATTTTACTGCTAAAGGTACCTTGAGAATTAGGCTTAGGAACCGTGTTGATAGTTTTGTTTTGTTTGTTTTTTGTTGCCTCAGAACTTCCTTTTAATCCAATTCAAGTCAATTGTAATGCAAAAGCAACCTGAAGCAGGTTAATGCAGCTTACAAGGAGGTCAAATGTAGGTCAGAAGAATGTCAACTTCAGGTCCAGTGTACCTGTCAACGAACTTTGAATGATCTCAGAAGCATCTCAAACTGATATCAAATGCAAGCTGAATGCATCTGGAAGCAAGTTCCATTTGCCCGTAGACCAATGACTGTCAACAGAGGCCCTTATTGACTTATTCATTCCTAATTAGGCATTTCACAAATATCAACACCACGATTGTATATATTGACATCCAGCCACGCCTGGGTTACCAGATGGCAATGATAGTACTCCAAAAGCCGCACTTTCAATCACACACAAATACCCGACAGATTCAGCACTCCGCGAAAACATCAGGCCCACTTTTCTAAAGGTCTGTACATGCTTGCGATAGATAATCAATTCTACAGGTAATTTCCTGTAGCAAGTGCAATCATCCTGTGCTTTTCTTGATTCTCCTAGCTCTTTGATCACTCTTGAGCTTCACAGCAGTACAGCTTAATGGGATTACAGCGTCAATTCACATGGGACTTTTCACCTTTACTCCAGAATATCCGGCAGAATCATGATACTCCTTGATTCCAGTGTAACTCTGGTTTATTTAAAGCAAGGTAAAAACAGTTACAAACGCCAGCTCTAGCATTCCTGACATGCTTCGTCTATCGACTTCACTAGAAGAACAGCACATGGGCGCTTGCTGTTGCTACAGCGATCTGATGAGTACTAAATCTGATGGGTATTTGTGTGTAAATGAGAGTGTGGCTGTGGAGTACTTATTTCTGATTAAACATTGAAGTAACCTACAGCAAGGGTTGGGACAGTAGGTTTGGCAGTGATTACCTCTTAACCGTAACGGTTTGGTCTGCAACACAGAAGATCCATTTTCAGGAAAAGCAAGTGTGCAGAGAACAAGCTAAGTTTACATTAAGGAACATAAGTGTTAGGGTTGGTATTATAGGAAGCAGTATGGTTACAGTGATTTAGACAGCCAGCGGGGCCGACTAGCAAGATACTGAAGCTTGGCCCAGTGGGAGATTCCTCCACCCACACAGTTTATATGGGTGTCAAAATTCTCCGTTTGAAGATGAAAGGCGTAAGGGAGAGAAAGGTAACAGTTGTAATATGAGGAGTGGTACCATGTGTAAAAAGTGTAGAAACTCACCATGAAGTTTTCATGGGTGTGCTGTCATCGACGTCGAAATCTCTGCAGGAGAGAGTTGAATGGAGGTCGTCTTGTGGATTCCTTGATTGGAGAGTCTGTAGCTTCGTGGGGTACTCGGTAGATGCGGGGATCATTTGTCTGATGGGTCCTTGTGGGTGTGCGTGGAGAGTGGCGGGCACCGGAGTCCTGATGTGCCTTGGTGTGATGCTGCTCTGGGTCTGGAGGCGCCCTGATGAGCAGTGGTGCAGGGCTTGCGAGGTGGCGGTCTTGCCCGCTGATGCCGCAATGTCGGGTGTGTAAGTTGGTGGGGAGACGCCGATTGCGTCCCACGTGGGGAAAGTTTGTGAGGCAGTGGGCAAACCTGCCGTGCAGGAGAGACTGGGTCCGATGAAGGCGGAAGGCGCATGCGCCGCCGGAGCAGTCTGCGAAAGGATGGTGGCTGGTGTGTCCCAATCACGGGACGCTGGTGCTGGTAGTCGTGGCGACTACGACCTCTCTCCTGCAGAGATCTCGACGTCGATGACAGCGCGCCCATGAAAACTTCATGGTGAGTTTCTACACTTTTTACACATGGTACCACTCCTCATATTACAACTGTTAACTTTCTCTCCCTTACGCCTTTCATCTTCAAACGGAGGATTTTGACACCCATATCCTGTATTTTACCAGCCCTCTGGGCCCCAACACCCCAAAACTCTGTTCTACACTGGTAGTAGCGCTTTAGACCTTGCTCCATTTATTTTTTGTTTGCCCTGTCCATTCGTAAACTGTGGTTACAGTATAAGTTACTATGTCCACAATCATGAATGAGCAGGAAGTGATGTAGAGCACTCCCTATTCATTCATAATAGGGGACACTGTAAACATACTATGTCCTCAATTATTTACAAACACTCAATGATCATCTGATCGCTGACTGCTTGTAACCGCTCTCCATCCTGACTCCTCTGCTATCCATCATGATCCCTTCGGCTGTCACACCCCGTTCTCCATCCTGAGTCTCTGCTTGTCACAGGAGGCCGAGCGGAGTGGTGCGGTAGGAGAGCTCGGCCTCCTGTGACACCGCTGACAGCACTCTCCTCCCCGGTCAGCCCCCTAAACGTTTCCCTCCTCCCCACTGGACACTGCTCTCTGTCAGAGGAGACACAGAGCAGCGCCCAGCGGGGAGGAGAGAAACTATGCATGCAGCACAATTTTGCCCCAAAAATGGCACGAAATGCTTCGGCGGCCGAAATTTTGGTACATCCTTCGTTTTTACCCAAGATGACACACACAGCACATGCTGTAAAGCTGGATCTCATGATTGCTCAGCAAATATTTTTTTGGCCGTTATTGAACAGATTTTACAAAACACTTTTAATTGTATATTTAACAGAAGAGAAGCAAAATGAGCATCTCCATAGAGTAAAAAATTTGAAATGTAGCAACAAATGAAAGAGGGCTTGTAATCGCAGGATCTCAAGAAAGCTGCGGATGGACGAACAGTCAGGGCTTTTAAATACGCAGGTGGGGAGCTAAGTCCATCGTGCTGCACATATGCCCTTCGGTTTTCTGGGGCCAGACCCCTTTCATCAGAGATTCTGATGAAAGAGGTCCGGCCCCAGAAACGCGTAAACCCGAAGGGCTGATGTGCAGCACGAAGGACTTAGCTCCCCACCTGCGTATTTAAAAGCTTTGACTGTCCATCCGCAGCTTTCTTGAGATCCTGCGATTACAAGCCCTCTTTCATTGGTTGTTTGTGAGTACATTTTCATTGCTTCTTCATTTCAATAAAACCGTTTTACACTATGGAGGCGCTCCTTTTGCTTCTCTTTTGCTAGATACCCAGTTTCCCTGACTGTGAGGAGCTGCCTGGGCCTCTGGAGTCCTCCTTCCTACAAGGACCTTTTGCAGTCAGCACTAGTGGTTGTTTTTTTACTTTATTTTACAGACTAAAAGGGAGCAAATAGGCGAAGATTATTGTTAGGGTTTACATACATTTTAAGATGCTAGCTATAGAAACATGTTAGGTCTCTTTGTTAGGGATTATATAATGGCTGACTAAGAAACATGTTTCAAAGGCTTGCATCTTTACTTGTCTAAAGCTGAATGGTGGGCACAAAAACTTTTGAAATATGTTACTCTATAGCAGGGGCGCCCTTAATTTTTCATCTGGAGATCTACTTTTCAAATGACGAGCTCAATGAGATCTACCAATGAAAAAACACCTGCATTCAGGGGTAGGGGGGGGGCATGGCTGTGCATTGAAGTCAATGGCACCGCAGCCATGCCCCTCACCCGCAGTGCGATCGCCCGCACCCGCAACACAGGCACATTAGTGCCTGCGTTCCGGTCCAGTGCGATCTGTAAAAATGCTGCAAGCACTATTTTTGCAGATCGCACTGGAACGGAATGCAGGCACTAATGTGCTTGCGCTCCGGGTGCAGGCGATTGCACTGTGGGCGGGGGGCATGGCTGCGGGGCCATTGACTTCAATAAAACCCCACTCCCCCTCCTGCCCCTGAACACAGGGAGTCAGCCAGCTTGCATTCCAGTGCATTCTAGAGGTGCCGGCGTCCTATCCTCCCGCGGTGCTCGTGTGGCCAAATGTGGCCGACATTGCACACGGGGAGAGGTGTCCTGCTCCTTTCCGTCTGCGGCGTCTAACACGTGCAGCCGGCAGCCACACGAGCACCGCGGGAGCATAGCCGTAGCTAGCTCCTTTTGCACGCCGACAAAAAAAAACTCAACAGGAGTATTATTTGTGTTTTATTTAATTTTTTTTTTTTTTTTTACTGTTGGGGGGGTTTCGGGAAAATATTAGGGGGTCTAAACAGCCCCTTGATATTTCCCTTTTAAAATAGAAAAAGAAATTGAGGACGCAAAGTCCTCAATCTCTCTTTTTCTGCAGCCTCGGTTCTAAATGAATGGAAAGCACAGAGGCTTCCCATTCATTCAGAAACTATTTACTATCATCCTGTTTCTGAATGGGGAGGAGCCTCTGTACTGAGTGCTACTCCCCATTGAGAAACTCATGACTGAACAGGAAGTGATGTAAATCACTTCCTGTTCATTCATAACTGGGGACACATAGTACTATGTGTCCCCAGTTATTTACAAACACTGGAGTGATCAGCTGATCGCTCCAGTGTTTGTCCTGCACAGAGGATCAGTACATAT